AAGCAGAAAAAGCTGGAAGTGGTGCTGTGGCTCAAGTGGTAGAGCACTAGCCTTGAGCTGAAGAGCTGAGGGACAGTGCCCAGGCCCAGAGTTCAGGCACCATGACTGGCAAAAAAAAAAAAAGAATTGTACTCATTACCTAATTCATGTAAGTATAACCTCTCTGTATATCAACTCTTACAATATTAAAAAAAAAAAAAAAAAAAACAGGGGCACCGGTGGCTCACACCTATAATCCTAGCTACTCAGGAGGCTGAGATCTGAGGATCGAAGTTCAAAGCCAGCCCGGGCAGAAAAGTCCACGTGAGACTCATCTCCAATCAGCCACTCAAAAACCAGAAGTGGCACTCTGTCAAGTGGTAGAGTGCTAGCCCTGAGCACACAGAGGCTCAGGGATGGCACCCAGACACTGAGTTCAAGCCCCATGACTGACCAAAAAATAAAAAAAGAAAAACACAGAACAATAATGAGGGCTGGGAAGGTGGCTCAGTGGTAGAACACTTGCCTTGCATGCATGAAGCCCTGGGTTCGATTCCCCAGCACCACATAAGCAAAAAGAAAAAAGAAAGTGGCACTATGGCTCAAGTGGTAGAGCGCTAGCCTTAAGCTTAAGAGCTGAGGGACGGCACTCAGGCCCAGAGTTCAGGCCCCACCACTGGACCCCCCCAAAAAAGAGTGCATAAACAGATTGGTATAAGTTAACTGTTTTTATTAAATTAAGACCATGAATAGTGTTAACTGATTTTATGAAACAAGATCTGCATGACCTAGGAAGTATATAACGGTTTTAAAGTAAATACCCCCCAAAAATGAAATTCTTGTTCAGAAATATATAAAGGTTAAACACTAAACCTCTAAAACTCACAACTAAATCTTACAATATCTACTCTAAACCAGAGCTAATGGTCAGAACTGAAATTATAGTTTAAGCTGACATAATCCATTTTCAAATTTGAGAATGACAAATAAAAGAAAATGAAGTAACTTTCCTTACTTGAAAACTCGTTTGGTAAGAGACTCGTCCAGTGTTTGAAATAAAAAATAAGAAACTATTTGAAAGGCATCACGGTTCAGCTTGTCAAACATGTTCCTAGTGGTTTAAAATGAAAAGGTAGGGAGAGAAAAACAAGAGGAAAATAACATTAAGCATTATCAAAAGTTGTAAGAGTTTGACACAAATTATTAATTTTATTCTCTTCAAAAGTAAAGGCAAACCTGCTGGAAGGAATGGTCAAAATGAGGACAGCTTGGCTTTGGTCTAAGTCAGAGCCCAAAAGAAATCTAGGTATAGATGGTTTATGAAAAGCCAACACTGGGATAGGCTAAATCATACAGGATTCTAAATATCCACACAAAATGAGACCAGAAGAGAATACTCTTAGCCAGGCGCCAGTGGCTCACGCCTGTAATCCTAGCTACTCAGGAGGCTGAGATCTGAGGATCACGGTTCAAAGCCAGCCCGGGCAGGAAAGTCTGTGAGACTCTTATCTCCAATAAAAACCACTAGAAAACTGGAAGTGGCATGGTAGCTCAAGTGGTAGAGGGTAGAGCGCTCGCCTTGAGCTGAAAAGCTGAGGGACAGTGCCCAGGCCCAGAGTTCAAGCCCCACGACCGACAAGAGAAACAAGTAGGTAGAATGTCTACAGGCCCCCTTCATATTTATATAAAATTATATATACACATATATGTAAATTAACTCCATGATATAGAACAAAAGATTTGTTTTTTCTGTTAATTTTTTGATGATTGTTTTCTTTTCTTTATATATAGTGAATTCAAGTATATATATATTCCGTAAGGGAAACGTACAGAATTTGAGAGAAAAAGGAGCAGCAGTGGTGCTCACTGGACATGGATGAAAGTAAACTATACAACTTTATATATTTCATAGGTGGAGGCAGGAGGGAGGGACTCTGGGAGAGAGTGAGGGAACAGAAGAGACTGTACAAAATAATCTCATTATCCAATATCACTGTACTCATTACCTGATTCATTTAATTGTAATCCCTCTGTAAATCACATTCATAATCACAATAAATTTTTTAAAGGAAAGGCAAATTCATTTTTCCTGTGCAAGATTATTTTTTAATCAATTTAGAAAAAGAAGGCTGGATATGTGGCTCAAGTGATAGAGAATATGCCCACCAAGCATAAGCCTTGAGTTTAAACCCAGCCCCACCACCGAAAAAAACAACATACAAGCTTTATTTTCTGATTCTAAAAATATACAACCAACAGAAACCTGGCACTACCATTCATGTAATGTGAACATTCTACAAAAAGGGAAGAAAAACATAAGTAGGTACAGAGAATTTTCCCTGTGTTAAATAGGCAGTATCAACCAATGCTTACTAAATAATAACATTCTTTATTTGCCAATCATTAACCTTTTATAAGGAATAACTCATCTACTATCTACTATTTGTTATTCTCATGTAAAGTATGTTATTTAACACAAATTATTTTATTTAATCTTACTAACACTAGATAGTAGTTTGAATATTCTCATTATTTAGATTGGGAAATTTAAATTTAGGGTAGAAAATTTGCTTCCCACAAAAGCACACTAATTTTGAAATATGTCACTGAAAAACACTGATTGTAAGTATGTCACCTGACCTGAGTGCCCTAGATATTTACTGCTGAATTGTACTCCCCAAACCATCTTTATCACATGCTAGCAAATTCATTAATTTTTAATATACCAATTTTTCTACTTATATCAAGTCAAAGTCAAAATACAACATGAAAAACACATAAGACTTTCTTAGCCTCATAATAAATGTAACACATGGGCTAGGATCATAGGTCAAGTGGTAAAAACAGCTGCCTAGCAAGCACAGGCTCCTAGTTCTAACCCCTGTACCACCAAAAAAGAAAAGGAAAAAAGTCACACAGCTATATAAACTCAAGAGTTAATAGAGCCTGGTAGTATAGCTCACTGATAACAGTTCTGGCCTCACATACATGAGGCCCCAGGTTTTATTTCCTATACCTCAAAAAAATAAATAAGAGTTAACAAGAAAGGCAAAGAATCAAATCAAGTAAATTTTAAAGTTGGCATTACAATCCTCTTGTTTGTGATCACATGTCCTTAAAATGTTTTTATTCCTTGAGGAATCAAATGTTATTTTTTTGCATAATACTCTATTCTCTGTGGCACTTAATCGTAATTAGTAACAGACATTTGTTATGGTCTTATTCACCCACTAGACTAAAATACTCTAAAGGAAAAAATTTCCTCCTTGACCACTGTATACCTATGTGTTAAATGGACAAATCAATCATTTCTCTCAATTCCCACTGTGAGCTTAACTTAGTTCAGGCAGCTTCCCCGTCTCATCAATTCTCTGCAATTCAATCCTTATGATATTTTTTTCAAAAATGCACTTTTCAGGCAAATACGCTAGACTAAGACTGTAAGGTCATTTTAAGCGTGTGTTGGTGTGTGTATGTGTGTATACATATATATGTGTGTGTATTATTATGTATGTATGTCTATAATTGGTGGGGGAGTACTGGGGCTTGAACTCAAGGCCTAGGTGCTATCCCTGAGCCTCTCTGTGCTCAGGGCTAGCACTATACCACTGGAGCCACAGCACCACTTCCAGATTTTTTGAGTAGTTTATGTTTTTTTTATTTTTCTGGTTTTGTTTTGTTTTGTCAGTCCTGGGGCTTGAATTCAGGGCCTGTGCTTCTTTTGCTCAAGACTAGTACTCTACCACTTGAGCCAGAGTGCCACTTCCAGCTTTTGCTGTGTATGTGGTACTGAGGAATCGAACCCAGGGCTTCATGCATGGGAGGCAAGCACTCTACCACTAAGGCACATTCCCAGATCTTTTTTTGAGTAGTTTATTGGAGATAAGAGTCTCACAGACTTCCCTGCCCAGGCTGGCTTCTGAAAACCGCCATCCTCGGATCTCAGCTTCCAGTGTAGCTAGAATTACAGGCATGTATACTTAACTCTAAGAACATAAGTCACACAACTACATGTTCACACAAACTAAAAAAATCATTAAATGACAAGCCAAAAAGAAAAAGGTTGCAGTATAAGCAAAGCAAAAACATGTTCCTCAGGGCACCGGTGGCTCATGCCTGCAATCCTAGCTATTCAGGAGGCTGAGATCTGAGGACACAGTTCAAAGCTAGCCCAGGTAGCAAAGTCCAGAAAAACTCGCAAGTGGAGCTGTGGCTCAAGTGGTAGAGCGCTGGACATGAGCTAGGGACAGCACCCAAGCCGAGTGGGTGGGTGGACAGATGGACACTCTCTAAATAAGACCCCAAGTTATCAGTTTGACAAGAACTGTACTCGTTATCTTACTTATGTACCTGTAACCTCTCTGTGCATCACTTTTACAACACAGCAAATGTTTTAAAAGACCCAAACGGATAGAGATATTAACCATTATAGTTAAAAACCATATCAGAAGTGGCAGAAGGGAAGGGGCTTTCACTGTTCATTTTAATGCCCTGGTCTTTTTTGTTTGTTTTTTTTTTT